ATAATATTATAGTATTTTTTAAAATTTGTTATGAGAAAAATAATAGAAAAACAATGATAATAAAAATAATTTTAAATAAGAAATAATATTTATTTCAAATTTAAATGTTTATAAAACATATTCTATTAATTTTTTTAATAATATTTTTAATAATATTTTAATAATTTTTTAATAATATTTTTAATTTAATTAAATACTAAATGTATTTATTTTTAATTAAAGGAAATATTTATATTTTTATTTTATATTTTATATAAATATAATTTTTTAACTAATATGAGTAAGTAAAATAAATTTGTGAAAAAAATAAAATATTTAAAATATATCAAAAACACATAAATAAATGTAATATTTTAAATTCATAATTTGTAATCAATTCAAAATTTATGTTTATCCTAGGAATTATATAAAATTAGAAGAAAATATGTTTTTTCTTATATAAAAAACTAAGAAAATTAATTAACTAAATATCTATTAAGAAAGATTGAAATAAAATGACTCATATAGAAATCACACATAAACCAAGCCTTTTGAAGGAAGCTATTATTCAAATTGGTGCAGGAGGTTCTGCAGGTTTTGTAGAAGCTTGTATAATGCATCCTATGGATCTTATTAAAACACGTTTTCAACTACAGATTAAAACAGGATCACAAGATGTGCTTTATTATACAGGCATTGTATCATTAATTTATATATATTTTTATTTTAGTATTACTTTCGTTTTTGTTATAATTATTATTAATTATTATTATAATTTCTTTTTTTAAATTATATTTTTATTATAGGAATTAGAGATTGTATGAAAAAAATGTATAAAAATGAAGGAGTTGCTGCATTTTGGAAAGGTATATTACCACCAATTATCATGGAAACTCCTAAAAGAGCTGTAAAAGTATGTAGTTTGAAAAACTTTTATTTTTTTATTTTTATTGTTAATTAAAATAAAATTTAATTAAAAAATTATTTGTTTTTCTTATTTTTTTTTTTTTTTATTTTTTTAGTTTTTCTCCTTTGAACAGTATAAGAAATTCTTTAATAATCACACATCAAAAACAATGGTATGTACAAAGAAAAAGCATTTCGATTTTTATAAATATGTTTTTACTAATAAAAATACATAATATTCCATTTCATTAATAATAATTTTTAGTTAAAAATGATATGAAGTTTCATAAAGCATTGATAAGAGAACACAATTGATTTCTTGAAAACAATTATAATTACAAAGCTACTATTACATTTCAATAAAAAATTTTTTTTAAGTATTCACTGTAATTTAAGTAAAATGATAAATATTCTTATATGCAATAATTTAATAATCTCTTATAAATCATATTAATAAAAGAATATTAATAATTTTTTTAATATTTTTCTATATATAATATCTTATATAATTATTTAATTATATTCTTTTATATAAAAAATGAACCAATTGAAATGAGTTGTTTCATTAGATAAAGATAAAAAAAATTGAATGATTTGAGTGAATACGAATATAAGTAGATTTTACCAAACCACATAATTTTTTTTATATCTTCAATGATATTGGAGATCATCTCATTATCAAAATATAAAATTAATAAAAATTGAATTAAAAAATTTCATTAATAATTTAATTGCTAGTTTTATTTTAGATTTTAAATATATTTGAAAAAATTTTAATTGTTTATAAAAATATGTATATATAAAAAAAATATATAAA